TAGAACATCTCTTACTTCATCTTCGGTCGTGGTGTAATCTAAATTGCTGACAAAAATTGTAATATTATCATCTACTTCATGCTGACTATCTTTATCATCCATATCTTTATCCTCGGTCGTTTTATAACCTGGTGGTGGTACGACTTCTAGCTTTGATTTCTCTTGATCATTTGTTGTTTTTCTGTCAGTACTAAAAATATTTGCTCGTAATTTTGGTTTCATTCGGACGTCAGTTTTCACAATTTTCGATGGAGAACTTCCTAAATTTTTCCACTTGCCATCATCAACCTTTCTCTTACTCGTCATTTTCTTATCCTGTGTAGACAATTCACTCTGAGAAAGAATTTGTTGCGCTTTTTGCCTTTCTGTCATAATTTTATCGAGCTTTTCCTTCGTTTTTTCTTCACAGAACTCCATTTGCTCTAAAGTTCCTTTATCACGTTCAAAATCTATCCACGAATTCGCTATACTTTCTGGCCAATCTTGTGTGGAACTTAATGCTTTCTGGTACAGTTTCCTTAAATGCTTTGAATCTCCGTAACTTCTATAAATAAATTAGAAAAATGCTTTAAGAAATGGAACAAAGTTATAAATGTAAAAATCATCATTATATTTAAATATATATAATTACTTTTCTAGAATTATGTATTCCAACCAATAAGAAGCTGTTGCAGAATGCTCTTGCGAAAGAATATCAGCCCATAATCTTCTAGTTTGTTCCATGTTATCTGCATGTATTGCTTCAAATCTTGCCCAGTATTGCAGGATAACACAATTAGGATCGCCATCCAGACCAAAGTATTTTGCCAGATGCTCACACGCTCTGTTAAACGTTTTACGAACAACATTCAAATACTTATCCCTCTCTTCGTCAGGATATTGGTCGAGTCTGCGCCGCAGACATTCAAGATACGTAATCCACAAATTGCGATAATCTTCTGCCGTTGAAAATCCAGCAGACAAGGCATTCTCTAATAGCGTTTGTATTTCCGATATGTGTTTGTCCCATTTCTCATACGATCTCATCCATTTTTGCCAAATTATTGCACACCAAGGAATGTTCCTCGATGCTCTTTGATAAACTGAATCTAATTCACGTTCAAGTCTTGATTCATTTTCTAGATAAGTGATATAATCCAACCAAATCGACGTTTCTAAACAATTTAAATCAGTTATTGCTCTCTCATATAGCATTTTAACAAAATCTGGGTTATTTTGTTTTATGTACAATAAGTATCCTTTATAAGCATCAAGTAGTTCATTTTGGTTTTGTGCAGAGACAAGCTTCTCCTCATAAGGAAGAAACAATGTCAATTTTGCAGAACTCTGTTTATAGCATTTTGAAATGGACTTCTCATCAGTATCTACTTCAGTATCATATTTTGTACACCAAGATTGATATTCCTCATATGTCTTATCCATGTCCAAAAGAGGATTAGATAATTGACGTTTGAACAAACTTATAATACGTTCCAATTGAGCCTTCTTTTTTCTTTTTTCAGTATCATCATCCTAAAACATAAATGTAGGACAAAGATAAATTTAAAGTAAATATAAATATAAGAAAAAAAAAAAAACATTATATAATGTCCAATGGAAAATTTGTTCCTATTATTTTATTTAGTTCAGTAAGTATCTCTTACCAATGACAGTAGAGAGGCAAATATTATATTCTCATATTCACGATATGCTTCCCATATTATCGCTCCTTTTGTGACATGTGTTCCAACAACAACCAACGCACGTTCAAAGAGTTGACGAACTTTCTCTTCATCCTTGCCCATGTATCCAATGCTGAACTGTAGATACTCCAACCATACTTCTACAGCTAAAATATAATTACAGTGTTAAGATCTCCTTGTCTCCATATAAATAATAGTCTCAAATCTATAGGCCTCTGTATACGGTCAGTAATACTGTCAGTATCAACGAATACTGACAATATTATTGATTGTGTGTGGTTAATATTAATGGATTGACATAGAATACTGACAATGATTTGTATTTAAATACATGCTTTTTCCTTAAGATCCACGTCGCCATAGATAACAATATACGTCAAATCACGTCAAACTAAAGTGAAATATTATCAATAATACCTGATCGTATAAGATTGTAAAAACTATGTCAGGAATACTGATCAGTAGTACTGACTCAGTATTACTAACCGTGTAGGGAAGCTTTATGATCAAGGCTATCAAGGAAAAACTTACATAGATAATCTTGAATAGCTCGTTCACATAATTTGACTATTTCAGTCTTCTGGTCATCAGTGGTAGCTAATTTGATCTCGTCGCTTATCCAAGCAAGCCAGAGCTCGGAGCTCAGTGGATATATGGTGCTCATATTGTTCCTAGCAGCTCGCAAGCGGTCGAGCTCGCCCATTGTGTGCAATTTGTCGATCAGGGCCACATGACTAGAATAGTCATACGGGTTTTTCGACAAGGAAGCTTCCAGGGCTTTCACCTCGGCCTCTTTAGCGTCCTCGTAATCGTCATCCTCGTCGTCGTCATCGTCGCTCTCCGACTCGATTTCTACTACTTCCGTGTCAGCTTGCTCCTCCGTTTCGCTCGTCACCATCTCTTCCTCGTCCGAGGCTTCTCCTGGAGGAACTTCCTCGTTCACAGCGTCCATCTCCTCGTCCATTCTCGCAACTCAAGCTCAATTGACGTCCTTGCAATCAATCGCTAAGGAAATCCGCTAATTCACTTTAGAAGATAACAATTTGCCTTTCACAACTGTCACAGCAGGACTAGGAAGGTTATGTTTTCATGTCTTTTCTTTTTTTCTGCCGCTATCGGCGCCACTATCTCGTAATTGCTGATGATACGTACGTCGTATGTTTATAGATGACCCTACATGGTCAATATAATATTGTCAACATTAATAAATACTGACAATATTACTAATCGTGTATGGTTAATATTTACTACGTTTACACGGTTCGATTTACGCCAAAGTTATAACATCGATGTTATGAAAGTGGCCAATCACAGTCATTCCATTCTTCAGAGGAATAGCTATGATTGGCCAGTTTCGTAACATCGATGTTATATAACTTCGGCGTAAAGCGTTGCCGTGTAAACGTAGTACGATGGCTTGATGTAGAATACTGATAAATGTCTGAATTTTAGTATTCGAGCATCAGAAATCAGTATGGTTTATATTAATGGCTTTAGGATTTATGTTACAGTTACCCCAGCATCCGAGAATGGATTAAAATGGATTGGACATTTTGTCTATTCGAATTCGTATTTTAAACAGCAAAAACTTTTTTTTGGATTCAATCAGATTCAATTGGATGCAATTGGATTGAAAAACTTCCTATTCAAAATTTCTATTATTTTATTTTATTAGTTTGATATTATTTTTCGATTGAAAGGTATACAGATATGCTCCATGCAATTCCTATAAATGAATAAAACGTATTCGGATTGAAAAGAATTCATTTTAACATCCGTATTTCTGAAAATCTGAATCCATTTCAATCCATTCTCAGATACTAGTACGCAGGGAATGGAAAGTTACTTTTTAAAAATAACTAATTACAGTTACTCGTTACCGAGTAAAAAATGTAACTAGTTACAGTTACAGTTATCGCTTTTTAAAAGTAACTCGTTACAGTTACCGTTACTTGAAAAATAACTTTTCGTTACTTTTCCGTTACTTTTTTAAAATCAATTTAAAAATGTATTTTTGCATTTTTTTTTTTTATATGTAATACTGACAAATATATAGTTTTATTTAAAAAAAAAAAACACAATGTAGAATGGCTCAAATAATAAATTAAATAATAGTAAAATGAGAAGGGTTACGAGCCAAAAATGAAACAGTTTATTTCCGATAAGAACGACGATGACAATGTAATTAAATGTATAAATATATATTAGAACAATACATAGATAAAACAAGATAAAAACAAACGACGTTTCGACACTTATTGTCATCGTCTTTTAAACTGTTTCGCTTTTGGGTTCATAGCCCTACTCATTTTACTATTATTTAATTTATTTTTTAATTTTTTTTAAACACAATTTTGTAATTCTAAAACCTGTAAAATATGCAGCAAATTGAAATATTTGTATGTCCTATGTATTACATAGAAGATAGAAGTGTAAAATAATTACTGAATCATAACGGCCGAATGTCTAAGGGCTTTCAAGTCTTATTGATAAGCGCTATAAATAGCATGTATCCAATCGAACCGTGTTCAATCGTGTGCAAAGTAACGACAAAAGTAACTGTAAATTTCGTTACCGTTACCCAAAAAATGTAACTCGTTACCGTTACAGTTACCAAAAAAAGAAAGTAACGCAGTTACCAGTAAAGTTACCAAAAAAGTAACTTGTATCTGTAACTTCGTTACAAGTAACGAGTTACTTCCATTCCCTGCTAGTACGTCACATCAGTGCAATAAATAAGATCAATATTACTGGCCACGATTATCATTGACCAAGTAGGATCACCTTATCGATCGAGCGGCATATTCATACAAATTCATCTTAAAACTCTATGAGATGTCGCTGTTTGTTCTATTGATTTGTTGCCAGCTGATCTGTCACGAGGATCGTTGCCATGGAAATTAAAGACGCCAAAACAAACGTTTATTTAGGTTCCGTCCTCGGATTACAGGCCCAGTACAAGTCTGTTTTTTATATAAATAAAGTTTTGTTATAACTATAGTATACCTTTTTTGTACTTAAAATGAAATAAGTATATATATTTTGATATTATATACGAAAGCGAGAAGAAAAGTTCTAATAGAGTTCAGTGCAGCAATAAAACAAATAAACTTCACATTTACAACGATTTTATAGCACCATGGCGAGAAAACTTAACACAATTTAGAAATAATTCAGAAGCAGTTAGAAATGTTGATACTGTTCTCGTTAAAAGTAAAATAATAAATAACAGCTGAATATGCCGTAATAAATAAATCACGCGGGAATTAAAGCGCACCTTAGAGAGTGAAACCGTTTCCTTTTTCCCATAATCGCGACATGTCCTCCTCTGACATTGATTTCGTAACCGGATTCGCACGAGGCTCGCAAGACAAAACTGAGGAAGATTTCAGCCTCTGCTACGCGTATCCGGTGATCGACGACGATCGGAAAACGGACGAAGTACTTACGACGAGTAAGAGAACCGTGCGAGTGTCGGACAGGAAAGACCGAGATAAAAACACGTCGGTCGAGGACGGACTTTACGTCCCCGAGAATCCATTCACCGACAAGATAGTCAAGCCTTACCGGCTCGACGACGTTAAATCGCTAGACTTCGAGTCGCAGCCGCGGTTTCGCGGGAAACTAATCGAGATCGCCGTGCGGGACGTCCGCGTTCACGCGCCGCGCGAGGAAGAACGGCAAGATCGGCCCGGGACGGTCCCCGAGATCGTCTCGGTCTCCTTGCTTTTCGGCGGGAAGCTGATATTCACGACGAACGGTCCGTTCAATCGGAAGCTGTACAAATTGTTGATGCGAAATGCGGAATGCCACGGTCTCTTGATACAGGTGCACGCACGACACGGGGTGTCCAGCGTGCTGCCGTTACCGTTGCCGCAGCGCAGCGTCAGGGACCACAAAGTGGAGATTGATTTCGCGATCAGCGGCAGCTCGGGTAGAATGTACGCCGGGACTGTCGTCTGCACCGTCTCCCTGTGGGAGACGGACGGCAGCAGCGAGGCGGAGGAGAGCAACGCGTATCTTTACAGGCCGAGCAACGATCCGAACGATCCGCAGAACAGCCTCTCCTTATCGCGGCCTCGCAGACGCTCCGCCAGCAGGAAAGACGCCAAGTACTTTCTGCTGGCGGACCCAGCTCTGGCTATCAACGCGGACGTCGTCGGCGTGACTCGCAAAGCGTCGTCGTCGCGCGAATCGAAACCGCCGGACATCGTCGTGACCGAGCAGTCGGCGTTCTCCCTGCTGGACGTGTCCCTGAAGAATTTGTTCCAGGCTAGCCGGCCGCTCAGGCCGTCGTCCAGCGGTCGCAGGCATCACACCGCAGGGAGAACGATCCTCGCCGTGACGATCCTGCGAGGGGTGGAGGTGCCGGTGAGGGAGGAATCGGCGCTGGTCGCTCCTCTGTTGGAGGTCGAATGGGGCAACGTCGTTCACGCGACCGCAACGGCGGACGGGCCGGCGCCGATTTGGCAACAGACCATGCACTTCGAGTTGCCGAGGCAGAACGGCGAACACCACGTGAAATTCCGCCTGTACGATCAGCATCCCGTCTGGGGTCAGCAATGGCTGGGCGAGGCGAGGATACCTCTGGAGAGTCACAGGAATTATCAGGAACTCGAACGCTGGGTCGGCCTGTCCCCTCTCTTTAGCCCCGTACTGTCGTTCGGCTACGTGCAGGCCAGTCCGGGTCACTCGCACACCCGGATCTACGTGTTGATGAAGATGGAGCAGCCCAGCAATGCCAAGTCTTTGGAAGCTAACGCCATCGATGCTTTGTTAAAGGGGATCCAACGCTGCCTGGCGACGTCTTACAGAATAGCCGGTGTAGAGACCCCCGACGACGCTGCACGGCTCACCATGCTTCTGCCGTCCTTGCCAATGCACTACGGCCCGGTCCCGCCGCGCCAGGCTTTAAACGTGAACAAGGTGGATCACTACGGCAGAGCGGCTTTGCTAGCAACGTTGCTGCAAGGTTTCGGTTTGCAGTCGTATGTGTTGTTAGGTACGTATCATTAATGTTGCGTGTAGATGATTTTAAAATTAGCTAGATAAAGATAAGATGAAAATTTGGAAATTTATCTTAGATAAGATAAAGATGATTATACATTTGAATTAATCTAGATAATATAGATAAATTTATCTGAAAAGTTCCAGATAATTTTTTATTTTTAAGACTATTTATTCGTTTATAAATTAAGAATCAGTTTTTTCTCAAAATCATTGAAAAATACTAAATTTAACAATTTTTATATTTAATAACTCGTTTGTTACAATGCCTCTTATAATTTTCAAAAAAATAATGAAGAATCATATAAAAATTCTATACAGTTCTTTTCCTCTATATTAATTGCATGGAAGTAAGCAATGTGAATGATTAGATTATATATCCTATTAGATGCACCCACTCTCTTCCTGAGGTTGAAAATTTTCCTGCAAACATGAACTGCGTAGAAGAAAGTATTTTAATATTTTCACATTTTTAGCAACGTAAAATATAAACCAAAGTATCTAAACATCATTCTAGATAAAGATGGTTTTTTTCCATCTAACATGCAGATAAAGATAATTAATATTTTTATTATCTAGATAAAGATAAGATAGCATCAACATTTCATCTAGATGATCATCTAGATAATTTTATTCAGATAAGATAAAACACTGCGTATCATTATGCAATCAACCAAGATTGTACTTCAACATTCACTACCATGCCCTATAATACACGTAACGTGAACTCTATAGATTTTTAGTCCGACAATGAATTTTGGAACAGTCGAAGTCTGTCGAGAAAACAAGCTTTATCCAAATGCTTCTTACAAATTTTTATTACAACAAAAAAGGCATTAATTTGCAAATTCTCTATTATATTCAATAACATCAATAAATTGATGACAGACACACAAATCCTCTGACGTGAAACATGACAACAAATTATCGGCAAAATGATACGAAGCTTGCTGACAGCGAATTGACAATAATAATAAACGACATTTTTTTATTAATTCTTAACTAAAACCGTCTCTAGTCTGCTTTAACGCTTTACTTCGCGTATTTAAATTTTGTACATCTGATGATGGCCAAAACCCGTGGTTACAAAACATGTAATGCGCTTTTTACTATTATAATAATATGATTGTTTATTATTCAACAAATTACATATTTTATTAATTTTTATGTTTAATTTTTATGTTTAATTTTTTTATATACAGTTAAGTCAATATATATTTGTGTCGATACAATTTTTAATTTTATATGTTTGACTCTTATTAGCCTTTTACCTATTTATTATATTTTTTCAATACTAAGAGTCCTTTATTTATATGTTTAATAACAAACGATCAAAATTAAAATTGATCAAAGCTTTGCTCGGTTTTTACTCTGTCTATGTATGATGATTCCTTTTATCTCCTCATGTGGAGCATAGGACGTCTACAGGCCTCTTCCACTTTTGTCCGAGGCCTATATTCGTTTCTCGAATCAAATTGTTTTCGGATTTGTGAGTGATTGATCCACCTTAAACTTGTTCCTGACACAGACTAGATCACCAATTCTAATCGAGTTTGATGCCAATTTGGAGACAATTTGTTATGAATTTGTTTTTCGAACAACTATGCTATCATTTTTGTCTCGTCGATATGCATTGAAGCGCGATTTTATTTAGCATATATATTTGTCGGCACAGGTTCCTCACAAATAAGCCGATGGACCGCATTTGTTTTAAGCATTGAGAAAAACGACATCGTTCTGTGGGATCCCGAGATCGGGGATCATTATAAATTGAGTGACAGTCGCTGTTCGTTGATGAAAGTGTCTCGCTTGATTAATCACTCTGGCGTTAGTATAAAAAAATTAATTCATTTCTCCAAACAATCACAAGTTTACATTTCTTTCCCACTTTGTGTGATCTCTTTATTTTTATTTTATATGTCTTTCCCGTTTTTTTCATAACAATCTCGCTATTGTAGATATGGGAGAATATGCAGAAGTCTATTCTGCCTCACAATTTAAGATACGACGTAACGATTAGTAAAGATTGGCGGCCACTTGTGTCCGTCGCCAGCAGTCGATCTGTTCACACATCGGAACCAACAGTGATACAGATAACCGAGGAAGACGCGCAGGAAAAGGAAAGTGCGCTCGAAATGGAGCAATATTTGCGAGATAAATTGTCCGGCTGGCGTAGCGCTCTTGGTTTAACAACAATATTTAATCGTCACGCGGTCAACGTTCTGCGAAGCTTTGTCTCCGACATTCCAAACGACATGACGCGTCAAGTGGACAAGAGGGACCTGAAACAATTGTACAGAGCTTATCACACGCATGGTTTCCTGCTGAACCTGCGTCAGACTGCCCTTGATGAACTGGTTGAGCAAATAGCCGCTACGAAGATTCACAATATCACGGGTCCCGTCGAATTTGCCCTCGTTTGTCATGTACAACGGTACATTGGCAAAACCTGCTCGATATGGTTGACTCTAGCAATTTTGCGTAGCCGTGGTTAACATAATCTCGTACAATAGAGATATTTAAGATCTTCAATCGATATGTCCAAAAATAAAATAAATATATAGTTGTAAATATTATTTAATTACGACTCAAACTGGAAAGAATTGTTTCTTAAAGAGTAAATGAATGGGCCTCGTTTGCAAATTACGCTGTTAGAATGTGATGTAAATATTGTTTGATAAATAAGAGAGAAACAATAGAAAGGATTAAAAATATTCCAGTTTATATTCAAACATATTAGTTCATTTTAAGTTATCGTTTCTCAATATTTTACGTAAAAAGTTACGATTTAATACGCAGCAATTTGCGTGTCTGGTGTAATCTCATCATAAACTATGTGCGAGTACAATATTTGTTTTAAAGTAATTTTATTAACTTTAAGATGTATACAATAAAAGAACGTAAGAAAAAATTATTTTATATATAATATTTAATATATAACAATTGAAAGTCAAAAGTTAATAAAAAAACTTCATAAAAGATTTAATCGAAAGGACAAATAAACGTAATCTGTGAAGAGAATTAACACAATTTCTTTGTTTTAACGCATTGCGCAGCAATGCTATTTTTATAACAATTGTATGATCCGTTATATTATAATAATGATATACATGTATTTATATAAACACATTAACAATATAATAGAATAACCTAATTACCTAAGAGAAATATATTATGAGGAAACACACGATCCCCGCATAAATGAACATAATCCATCGTCGCAAATAAGTATCTTGTAATTTATTCAGTTGCTAATTATTATTTGTAAATTTTAACATGAGAATATAAATCATACGCTGTATAAAGAACAGAATCATCATGATTTATGATGTAAATTGCAGTGGAGATGTTTACTTTATCACTTTTTGCCACATTTTTCTTTACTACGAATTTTTTATTACTATCATAGTTCTCATTGCGACGAAAGCGCGTCATTTGGTATCTAGATTATTCGTTGTAGAAAAAGATTGGTATAAAAACCTTCGTCCAGCCAATCGATATATTTTTTTGTTATTAAAATTATCTTCTTTTTTTATTAAATTTAAAAACGAATAGAAATCAGTCGATTATATTATTTGAACCAAAAAGGATTACAGGATCCACAATAAAAGTCACAGAGTCTTAGAAAGTAATTTGATCAATCATAGTTGATTATTTCTTCTCATATTCGACTGTGATTGGTTAATCTTCTACGACTTATAAGACCTTATGATCGCTACGATTTTTGTTGTAGACCCCGCGTTTGATCCTCTTTCATTTGAACGTACAGTATATAATTTGACGAAAGCGGACAAACTTCTTGTGTATCGCGTATCTCCCCGTTTCTGTGCGGATCAATCAGGAGTATAGCTGCGTGATAGGCTTTCCATATAATCCGGAATCTTTAAATATTGATTCATATTGTTGCTCGTTGGCGAAACGGCACTTGCGAAGTTTGATCGAGAAATTTTTATATGCACACACTCACATACATTTCGTTATCAAAAATTTCACAAACTGAAGGGTTGCACTAAATTGCATTTCTTATTTCTTTTTAAAAGACGTAGCTCTCTTTTAATCAATAGAAATTGTATAAGCTTTAATGAAATCGATAAAAAATAAAAGGCTTTTGAAAGTCAAGTTGGATGTTGTTGCAAAGAATGATTTATTGCATATAACAATTAATAAGACGTTTCAACCCATGATTATATCTTGTATATATACCTTACTTTATTGTTGTTAATGTAATTCAGGGAATGGAAAGTTACTTTTTAAAAGTAACTAGTTACAGTTACTCGTTACCGAGTAAAAAATGTAACTAGTTACAGTTATCGCTTTTTAATAGTAACTCGTTACAGTTACCGTTACTTGAAAAATAACTTTTCGTTACTTTTCCGTTACTTTTTTAAAATCAATTTAAAAATGTACTTTTGCATTTTTTTTTTATTTGTAATACTGACAAATATATAATTTTATTTAAAAAAAAAACAATGTAGAATGGCTCAAATAATAAATTAAATAAAAGTAAAATGAGAAGGGTTACGAGCCAAAAATGAAACAGTTTATTTCCGATAAGAACGACGATGACAATGTAATTAAATGAATAAATATATATTAGAACAATAACATGGATAAAACAAGATAAAAACAAACGACATTTCGACACTTATTGTCATCGTCTTTTAAACTGTTTCGCTTTTGGGTTCGTAGCCCTTCTCATTTTACTATTATTTAATTTATCTTTTAATTTCTTTTAAACACAATTTTGTAATTCTAAAATCTGTAAAATATGCAGCAAACTGAAATATTTGTATGTCCTATGTATTATATAGAAGATAGAAGTGTAAAATAATTACTGAATCATGACAGCCGAATGTCTAAGGGCTTTCAAGTCTTATTGATAAGCGCTATAAATAGCATGTATCCAATCAAACCGTGTTCAATCGTGTGCAAAGTAACGACGAAAGTAACTGTAAATTTCGTTACCGTTACCCAAAAAATGTAACTCGTTACCGTTACAGTTACCAAAAAAAGAAAGTAACGCAGTTACCAGTAAAGTTACCAAAAAAGTAACTTGTAACTGTAACTTCGTTACAAGTAACGAGTTACTTCCATTCCCTGATGTAATTGCTGAAGAGGATCTTAATCGTGGGTCGAAATGTCTCATTAATTGTTATATACAATAAGTCATAATTGCAACAATATCCAGTATTGATTCTCAAAGACTTTTTATTTTTAATTTATTTCCTTTCAATCCTCTCATAATAATTTTTCGTTACAAATTTATCGTTCATTCTTCCAAAAAAAAGATCTTCGCATTTTCGTCCCCTTTCTTTCCCTGACAGTCCGTTTACTTATTTTTATCTAAACATGCACACATACGCACCTTCTCGTTATGACTATTTTTCTGAATAATCTTACATTTAGAAGAAAATTTATTTTTCACAAACTAAAAACTTATCTACCCTATATGTGGCTGTCCCTTGAAAGAAAGACTGTTTACTTTTCTGATGATATTTTGATATTTACCTGAATCCTCGCACAATATGTAAATCTTTCCACCTCAGTTTCATACATAATTTATTCATGTGCAAACTCTCATCCTTGCAGGCCCATCGCGCTAATCGCTACAAAACGCATTCGGTATTAGACCGCTTCTTCAGTGAATGTTCGTTAATATGTACAGTTGCTAGAATCAGCGTGGTGCCGTGAATGTACAATTGCTGATCCGTTATAACTTTGGAATCACGGTGCTAATTTTCGCCTCGCGAAAGCACAAAACCTGATAACGTGCTGGATTTAAGCAAAAAATCCATTTATTTATTCCCCTTGCCCCTTTTTGCATTTTTATTTAATTTTTTTTTTTTTTCTCGTTAAACTACTTCTGTCCACGACGCACTGCTCGACGCCGACTAACGTCTGTGACTATTGTTTCTTCATCATCGTGCGTCGCAAGTACCGTGGATTGGATCTCCCGATAAGGATATCCTTGAGGAGAACCGCCTCATTGAGTCTTTTTCTTGGATCTTTCATTCGTGTAGCCGTTCGCGTGTCCATTCGTGTGTCCATTCGCGACCTTCCCATTGCTGATTGCACCGTCGAGTTGCTTACTCGTCGACGCCTTCTCGGCAGCTCTTAGCCTCTCAAGCCGTTTCTCCGCATACACTTGTTTACCCTGCAAATAAACGTCAATCATAAACTGATAACACGCAGGCATATAGGGGCGCGAAATAACTCGCCCTGAATCATGTACGAAATCTGCATCTGACCTTTGCGATATAGGCTTTGGCATAGAAGTTCCCGAACAGAACGATGAAAGAGAGCATGTAAATTACAAGGGCGTACTGCATCCAGAGAGGGAAGTCGCATCCCGATCGAATGCCATTGATCCCCAGAATCAAGGCAGTCGTGAACTGGATGAGCTGGAGGATCGTCAAGTACTTCTTCCACCAGAGGTACTTGGTCACCGAAGGACCTAACGCGGCGAGTCCATAGTACGAGTACATCAGCACGTGAATGAAGCTGTTCACCATTGCTGGCAGGAAAGCTGCAAGGGTACACGTAAATATAAAAATCTTCACGTCTTTTCCCTGGTGGAAAAATTTTGCTGAAATTATTTTACGTTTTGAAACATTTTCACCGAAATTTCAGCATTTCTGAAAATTTTCAGTTTAATTTCAGCGATTTTTAGAAATTTCAGAGAAATTTTAAATCAACTTCAGCGACATTTCAGTACGTTAATTAAAAAATCCACTTCCAGTAAAGTTTCAGAAAACTTTCAGCAATTTTGCCTGAATGTTCCAAAATGTGGAATAATTTCAGCGAAATTTTTTCATCAGGGTTTTCACATAAATTTTAATTGTCTAGGACTAAGAGACATAATTAACTGACTTTTACATATTTCCATTCACTCAAAAAAGTGATCTTGCAGTTGTAGCGAAAATTATCTAGGTACGAAGAATTAGCTAAAATAGATAAATGATTAGCAAGCATTGCGATGTTACATACAGGGTGTATCACCAAAATCAGGACTTTCAATTTAAAAAATATATTACTATAAATACGTTACTATAATTTAGAAGTACAAATGTATTTGGACGTTTCGGCCATTGGTTTTGGCCATCTTCAGCAAAAGAGTGTACAGTATAAACTTCTAGCTACGTTGATTATTGTTCATCAGTTGTGTAATCCATACGGCAAGCACAATCATTCTCTTTTGAAGTCAATAAGCTTCCTAATGATATGATTCTGTTTTTTCTATATAAAATTAAATGTATGTTATAATAATTAAATTAAATTAATTAAGCAAAAAATTGTGCTTACCCAAAAATCCGTGGATTACAATGAATAGGATAAAATTTATTTCGTATTTCGGTGTAGCAAATAATTAATTTTCACAAAAGCGCGTTGAAAATATACATTTTTACAAATAACTTCAATTCAACTAAATTCAATTAAAATTTTCCGCTATATTGTGCCTCCGCCAGAGGATGTTGGCTTTCCAAGAAAGCCTGATACTTCTAGTAAACAGTCATATTCTCAAAACACCCTGTATGTTTGGCACCTAATCGGTATAGATGACAGAATTTATATTTGAACAGTTAATGAAATGTAGAAAGAAAATTTGTCCGTGGTGCATCTATTCATGTTAAGATCAATCTTGTTATCAAGTTTGACTAAAATACATAGAAAAGACTAACTGCGGGGGAGACAAATAAATATGTATGATCTTCAGGCCTAACATAGTTTGTATAATGCTTCCATTGCGGTTTAGCTCTTTTAAAAATTGTTATGGCGCGATGACACATCAGCGAGTTGCGCAGGGGATCGAGATTGTCAGATCTCAATAAGAACTGAACCAGTGAACCGATCGAGTTGCGTATCACGCTACTGTTGTGTCGAGTATAAGTTTATTATACCTTTTGTCGCGCAGCGAACGTGCTACATCCTGGAGCACGGTGAACGAACTTAATCTTGTCGCACGGCAAACATTCTAGATACGTGCAGGAGCCGTATTGGAAGCAATTGCGTGTAAACGAGCGCGTGCAAATACTGCCTATTCAATAGTCATGTTGGAAAAGTGTTCATTGCGAAAAAGTGTTATACTCCGTTGTGTAATGCCAGAGATGATTGTCGTAATCGCGATTGAAAGATTTATTAAGAACGTGAAATCTCGCAACGCTATCGACGCAAAAAAATTCAACGTGGGTAAGATTTCGGGGATTGTAAAGTGTTAATAAGCGTCGTTCAAACACTTACTAATATTTTATTTTATTGAGATTTTCTGAATCTCTTTATACCCACATTGAATTTTTTCTGTCGATGGCTCTAATGGCGTTTTAGCTTTGAAGACTAAAGCAGAACACGTTTGGTATAAAAAGGCTGTATAATTTAGCTACAGCTAAAAAATTAATTGTGACTCTAGATGTATATTACTATATCTTGATACTATAGTTATAATCGGCAGCCATTATTTCTCATAAAGATTGTTCTAGTTCGTTTTTCCTATCGAAGTTTCTGTCGAAACTTATATTTATGCAATACAATAATTTATAATTGCCAGTGAGATCTAAATTTTCTAGAAGGTATTGCTAGAATAATGCTGCTATAAATTTTATATGTGACAAACAATATTTTAGCAGATACGAAAAAGAGCGATAATTTTTCGCTGCAACACCTAGAAATCTATCTCCATCAGCAAAATATTTTTTTGTGTCACACAAACTTTAGTCGTACTTGGAGCAGTACTATATTAAAATTCATCCAAAGATATAAGCTTACTGCTACCAATAATTAATACCGTTATTTTAAGTAATCTAATAAGTCAATCTAAAATAATAATTGTTATCAATGGCATACTAGAATTAATATTATAATAAAATAAAGAGACACTTACTGGATCCGCTCGGTACCCATTTAATACCGATCCACCATAATGAGAACATGGTAGAGTGATGATAAACGTGGAGGAAGCTCAACTGATTGTCCTTCTTTCGCAAAATGAAGAAGAATGTATCGCAAAATTCCAGAAGCTTGCTAAAGTAGTACCACCAAACCGCGTGAGCAATCTATATATAAACAAGAAAAACCAAATTTCTGTTCCTTATTCGCGTTATTTATATTTGGGGCTCAAAAATGTTTCTATCAATGTATTATTTATTTTAACATATTTTACATATTTTACATATTTTCTTTTAGATCTCTTTGAACATTTTTGTACCTTGTTAAATCTGTTATATTATTAATATACTAACAAAATAATCTTTTTTAATTTATAAGTGGAAAGTTTTAATTATAAATCCTTTTTTATACGCGTACCATCTTTTTCTTAACATAATAAAACAAAACACTTATTTTTAGTAAATATTTTTAAGCTAAACTATAACGGAAAAAGATATAGAGGAACGATCTTGAATATTCTATATTTTTGTTTTATAATAATTCTCTTACCTGAAGTTCATCAGGACGCGTGATGTGCCTTATAGGCTGGCACACGTAACTATATCGTAACCTTGTGGATGCTACGAACAACTGCAAGAATACAGAGAGATGTCAGATAAGCGATGGAAACCCACTTTCAAGTGAAAGTGACTACATAGAGATCAATAAGAAAAACGAAGGTAAGTTCCGTGATATTTTCCCATCATCAAGGAGAGGAAGTAATGCGTTCACCTGAATGGCAATATAAGCATTGAGGCAAGCCATGGCGAGGTTGTAGGGTACCAAAGCCCACGTTAATTTGAAAGCTTTCCGTTTCTTCATGACCTTAGGACCCATCCAGACGATAAAGAGGTACAGCATTGTGTATATTAATGTCGGTTTCGGCGAGTCAACCAATAACCACCCCCTTGATCTTTCATCTGAAAATCAAAATGTGTCAATAATTTTGTAAAAATTTCGCGGTATACCTTATATTTGTTTAAAACACTTAATATTCTATACAATTAAATCGATTTTTTTAATTTATAAATAATATATAATATGTATAGAAATTTGTAATTATATTTAAAACAATTTATATTGTTAAAGTTACGTAAGTTGAAGCTCTTTAAAAGCATATCTATAATGACATTGCAAACGATATTTGTTAAAGAGATTATTTAATACTAAATATATATATCATAGATAATTGTAATATATAATATAATAGAAGTTTTATGGATTACCTGCGAGGGACAGAGTCCAGAGGTAATAGTCGTACGCATCGTTACAAAATTGTGTTGTCGAATTAATGAGGCTCGCCATCGCCTGCAACACGAAGAATAGGTTGATTCTAATAAACTCGCATTTTCGAAAAATTATAACACACATCGAATTATTTTATTTGTAAATATCATTTCCATTAATGTTAAAAGCCGTCAAATGCGTCGATTATTTCGTTGAATAATTTAATGAAATAGCACTTTATATACATATATAGTACCTTATCTTTAGAATCGCTTTGACCACGTCAAGGTTTTTAAGCAGAATTGGAAAAGTTATTTTGTAAAAAAAAAAACTAGAGTTACAGTTATAGTTTTTCTCTTGAAAAGTAACTATTACTGTTGCATTACCCATTCTGAAAAGGAACACATTATGCAATTATAGTTACTTAAAAAGTAACAAATCGTTATTTTCAGTTACTTTTCTGTTAATTTTTAAAAATTAATTTTTGCATTCCTACACAAAAATCTTATATATTTATGACATTATTAAATTATTTTATTAATTATGCTAAACATTATAAGCTTTATTATTTATAGTAAATTAAGATGTTTACGTGGAATCTCAAAATTTTGAGATAAATATTTTCAGATGCATTTACATACTAAAATATTCCAATCACAATAAATAATTATTTTTTTTTATATAATTGTTCACTAATTGTAAGCACTTCATTTTGGACAATCTATATGTTGTGTGACAAATAAGTTTGAAATAAACTATAACTGTAAAGTAACTACAAAAATAACTATTATATTAGTTTCTAGTTATCAAAAAAATGTGTCTAACGTAAGTTATTGTCATAGACGAAAGGAAAGGAAGTTATGTTACAGTTATTCAAACAAATAATTCTATTTGTTAACTAACTTTGTTACAATAAATAATAAAGTAACGTGTTACTATCCAATCCTGCTTTTAGATACAACAAGGCGTTGTAATATCAAATTTTTATGCATTCTTTACCGCTGACGTATTTTTTTTTTTTTTACTGACGTAGCGAATCTGAGAAATGAGCAATCGAAAGCTACTACCACATCGTTAAAAATAATTGACATGACCCAACATTCCGATGTATGTATGGTTTATTTGAACGAGGCATAACAACGAGCACGAGCTTTGCCATTTTAATTATTTCTCGATCGGATATCTTTTTTCCGAAAAGATATATCCGATATTTTTGAAATTTACTCGAACGAGAAAGTATACATGCATTCCGAACAAATAAATCGCTACGTTTATGCGTGCGCATGATATTAAGATATTCGAGAGATCGACAGAGCAATCAGTAAACGAAACATGCTGTACACATGCATCAGCTCGCAATTAGTTCTTAATAGCTATTTCCTCGATGCACATCATCCGGTCGTTCACTCGCAGTATGTACCGCGGAACATAACTTTCACGCTCCGAAGAAACTACTACCGCTATCTCCCGAAGTCTCCATAAACGTGTCCCGACGTGAACACTTGTTTCTTTACGGATTTTTTCTTTCTTTTTCCGAGCAGCTTGTTGTCAAGTCGACGATCCATCAACTAGCATATCCTTTGAAGGAAAGTTACTTTCCTTGAGTGAGCGATTTCGCATTGAACTTATGGCATAATTGTTGAGACTTTGAATAAGTTAAGCTCTAATTGGAGAAGTTAGTCTTATCTCGGTTCACTAATTCACTTTGCAACGGAAATCAAAGTAATTGTTTTGCAGAAAGACAAAAGAGATTCATCTTTTCGTAAAAAAAAAAAAAAAAGATAAATCTTCGTCTAAAAAAATTAGATATATTTCGAAAAGATTTTTTGGAGAAAGAGGGCTGCAAAAAGTTATTGGACCTTTTCTCCAGATAAAGGCTTTTCTCCAGAGAAATTTTCTTTAAAATTTTCGAAAACTATGAAAATTACGGCGCGTAACAAATTGTTACTTCACTGCAAAACGTATCATTTACCATCGTCATTATGCATATCGCTTGTTTGATAAAAAGAACGACACAATTTCAAAATTAATTTTACGATAATGATAAGAAATCAACTCTAAAGATATATATTTTTGTTAGAAAGGTATATTTGTAACTCTCTCGATAAATTTATCACTAAAAGATAGAAATGTCCTTAGATTAAGTTTCCAATGATTGTCTTTGGAAAATATAAAACATTTTTTTTATAGATGTCGCGAAGAAATGTTATTGATAATTAAATAATTATAAAAAGCGTTCTATTTAAAATTATACTATTTTTAAAGGCTCCTAAAATATTGTTCCAATTCGAAATATTAAAAAATGCTTTCCTGAAAAGTTTCTAATTTTTAGATGTCACTTTTCTATCAAATAAGCGATATGTCAGCGAATGCATTGTATAACGTATTCGTGTATATTGTAATGTACATTAATGTTTGAGAGGATAACGGACGTATTAATTTTTTTCTAAATATTATGATGAGTATCGCATCTTTAATATTAATCATCGCTGAGGGAGATTACAGTCTCGACAGAACTGGAGTATTTAAAAATTTAAATTGCTGCTTATGTGAAGAAAAATAATAAAGTATTCTGACCCGAGACCTTCCCTCTTTTATATGGATGATAAATCGAGAAAGGATGTGAAAGCTCTTTAACAAATAACGGGAAAATCACACATTTTTGATTCAAGTCTAAGCATTTAAACTCCCAATAACTCATGACGCGGCGTTTCTCCTTTTACACGCGAACCAAATCGGGTAATATTAATGACAATACTAATGATAATGATCTATTAGTTACTAATGAAAATGACCTATTAATTATAAAAGTAATCTGCATTGTACAAATATTAATAATAAAAAATTATTCAACGTTATTGCTCGAGTCTTTATGACAATATAATTATCATACGGTCATTAAGTACTGTATGATACGTAACAACGTGAAAACTTTCATTTCGAATGGAGAGGCATAGGCAGGCATAGATAGGTAGAAGCGAAAAAGAGAAATCTTTGAATTTTTCGTTAAAGTATACTTTGATCTCCATTCAAGTACATTTTGCTTGACAGATGTATCTTTACGAAACAGACGAGCAATACGAATCCAGCGAAAGTTAACCTAATGAACACTGTAAGTATATGGTAAATCCAAGTACAAATCCGTATAAATGATCCGACAAATCTGTAATAAGCTTATTAATAAAGACAACTTATTTCTAAAACCTTTTTAGAGAGGAAATGAAAAAGATGAAGAGAGAATAGCATCCGTATGATTTATCTACAATGAAGGATTTACTTTTAAGTTTAATAATAAAATTAAATGTTAATCACTTGAGCCTTTATTCTTTTAATTTCTGATACAAATGTTAAAACGAGTGTCTTGCATTAATGGAACATTCAATTTCTTTATATTAATAATATACACTTCTCAACAAAATTAAAGGATCACTTGTTCCACCCTGCAAAAATAGGCAAACTTTGAGATAGAATAACTTCGTGAAAAATTATCGTATCGAGATGATTAAAAAAGCATTTTAAAGTTTGAAATTTCTACTTTTCAGACCGGTATTCCAAAAAATGGTCTTACTGATATTTCGTCAAGTTACACAAACATAAATAAAAGTGCTTCAAACCTGAAAATTTTATACGAAATTTGAGGAGTTCCATGGAGCCAATTAAAAATTGTGCACAAATGCGGTTTACAGCTTTCGAAAGAGTGAATCTTTACCTTCAATTTGTTTTTTTGTTGAGCTCTGTACGATTTTTTTTCACCGAGTTATTCAACGTTGAAGTAAGAAGGCCATTTTTATTTAAACATTAGTAACTCAGTGAAAAAAAATCGTACAGAGCTCAACGAAAAAGCAAATTGAAGGTAAAGATTCACTCTTTCGAAAGCTATAAACCGCAATTGTGCACAATTTTTACTTGGCTCCGTGGAACTTGGCAAATTTTGTAAAAAATTCTTAGGTTTGACACACTTTTATTTATGATTGTGCCACTTCACGAAATATCAGTAAGACCGTTTTTTGAAGTACAGGTCTGAAAAGTAGAGATTTCAAGCTTTAAAATGCTTTTTTAAACATCTCGATATGATAATTTTTGACGAAGTTATTCTATCTCAAAGTTTGCCTATTTCTGCAGGGTGGAACAAGTGATCCTTTAATTTTGTTGAGAAGTGTATTTATGTCAACTATAAACGTCTCAATCAGAAATGGTCGATTAACGTTAAATGAGCATTGATTTGACATTGATCAACTAATCATTTCTAGATAGGATATAATTATTCACGTCGTTATGTACTTTTACTTTAATTTACTTGTTACGTTTTGAAACTTGAATATTTGAAGAATAATTTATATATATTACTCATACATTTATATAAAGTTTATAAACGTTCATTCAATGATTAATATTTGAACAAAATGTCTCTTTTAATTTTGATATTCACTTAAAAAGTGATCTTACAGTAGTCACGAAAATTATCTAGGTACGAAAATTAGCTGAAATTGATAAATTTTTAAAAAGTATATTGCAATATTGGATATGTTTTGCATTTAATCATACAGATGACAGAGATGGAATTTAAATGTGTGCTATAAATTCTATGCGTGCATATGATACATAATTTTCTATGAGATACAAAAAAAGCGATAATTCTAACTGGAGCAGCAAAAAATTTTTTTTTGCGCGTTGAAAATATTTTCAACTTTCATATTTCTTTGCATATTGCAAAAATAGTATAAAGTTTTTTTCAACTGAACTTAATATTTGAATTCTATCTTTATAACATAATTTTCGATTTATTACTGACGTTTTTTCAGCTGTTCATCATAAAACATTGCGAAAGTAATATGACGCTTGAAATCAAATTAAAATGTCTTTATGTTGCAAAATCAATAAATGCTTACTTATGATTTTCAAGAATTAACAAGGCATGCATACACAGTTACACGCTCACAAATATAATATTTCGACATTATCTTTTTTTTTTTTAAGAGAAAATTAGAAATTAATTTAAGTAAATTATTTTTCTCATCATCGTATAATATACGCTGTGATGATAAAAAGAAATCATTGTGTTAAGAACGTATATTATACGT